GGCGCTTTGGATTATAAGTAATATTGTATATGGAACATAATAATAAATATAAATTATTTTAGATAATGATGGAATCAATATTCTATTTTTGGCGCTTGAATCTAAATATGATGAAATTATTGAATTAGGAGTATGGGCATTAGCTAATATTGCTGGAGATAATATTCAGTTTAGAGATATGCTACTTTAGAAAGGAATAGTATTTTACATAAAAAAGATATGGAATTAGTATAGAACATTAAAATTTGAACTCTTCAAAACTATAGTTTGGGCATTAAGCAATTTGGCTAAAGGAAAACCAACATCTAAATTCGTAAATTATTTATTTATGGTAATAGTGCACTCCTGGTTTAATATCGATTCTATCTGAAATTATAATTAGTACTGATAATGAAGAGTAATTAATAGAAGTTATTTGGGGTTTGAGTTATTTAACTCAAGATATATATGAAATTCATATGTAAATAGACATGAAAGTTATTTAAAAATTAACATTATTACTAAATTCGACAAAACATACTTTAATAATTCCAGCACTTAGGACTATAGGTAATATTTTAGCTGGTAATGATGAGTAAACAAATCAAGTTTTATAAACCGGAGTCTTGTAATCTTTTGAGAAATTGCTTTAGCATAAAAAAAAATCAGTACGAAGAGATGTAAATATTATTCACAGTTTAAGGTTATTTGGTCTTTGTCTAATATTGTAGCTGGTACTATATCTTAAATAAAATTAATCATAAGAAATGATTCACTTCTTAAACCTTTATTTAAATAAGCTAAAAAAAATAATTTAGAAATTACAAAATAAATAGCTTTTTTTATATCTAATTCTGCTATTTATGCAGAATTAACAGATTTAGAATATCTTATTGCTAATTATGGATTTATTTAAGAACTCTCAATGTTATTAGATAAAAAGGATGAAAATATTATTCAAGTAACTTTAGAAGGGATTTACAAGTTAATTTCAAAAAGTAAAAATTTCTATATCAATAGTTTAAATGGAGGGAGAATTTTCAGTGTATAAATAAATAATTGAAGACTAAAAAATAATTAAAAAAGTAGTTTAATTGTAAGGCCATCCTTCTGAAATCATTCATGAAAATGCTTACAGAATTTTGGATCATCTAGTTCCTTAAGATTCATAATGAGATTTATGTTATTTCATATTAAATAATTTTAAATTATTAATTATTCAAATTCATTTAATTATCATTCAAAGTAATGACTACATCATACAATGTATTCTATTTATAAATTGAATATTATCCAATACTTTCTAATAATGTTTTTTTTATAAAAATGGCCCTTAGATATTTATTTTAATAAGATAACAAAATTTAACATTCTTCAAAATTCATAGTTCGTTTTCGAAATTTAAAAAAGCATTAAAGTTATATCCTGCTATTAATTTTTAATGAAATTTTGAACAATTAAATATTTGAATTTACATAATTATAATTAGATATTAATAAAAATGACTCTCAATAAGGAGTTCAAATGTTATTATGTTAGAAGGATAGTCATTAAGATGAAATAGATAGTGTTTGTACAAAGTGTTTCTCAATCATTATCTAAATTTAAAATGGGAATCAATCTTTAATCAGATATAAGACTGTTAAATCTATATGAGGATGCCATTTACTTGGTTTGACAAAGCTTTAGCTTTGAACTCCAGACATGTTAGTCCTTTATTGGAGAAAGGTAGATTTAATTTGAATTTAAATACTAGGTGCATGTTTATAAAGTTATTATAAATTAAATTAGATATAAAAAATTTACATAAATATATAAATATGAGGATGCCATTATTTAGTTGTACAAACCTTTAGCTATTGATCCTAGGAGTTGAGAATTATTTGAACATCAATTTCTAACTTAAAAGAATGCATTACTTAAAAATTCAACTACAAAACATATATGAGGGTTTTTCATAAAGATGATTTGAAAATTTATCAGCTGAATTTAATTAGTGATTAAATAAAATTTTACTTATTTTAACTGCTTTTCCCTTTTAGATCCTCCTTCTTAAGCTGAGTTCTAAGTTATGAGAGCCTTATAAAAAAACTACAAAGAAGTAGATTAAAATATATTTATCCTCACTTTTAAATTGCATAATCTCTAATGATTCAAGAAACTCTTATATTTTATCCTTATATTCCTATTTCTTAAGTAGATCCTTTGTCTGATAGAAATGATATTAATCAATTCTACCATAACATTCCTTATCCTTAATATTTTAATTATATTTCCTTCTTTATCTGATAACAATTTAACTTCACAGTTACCAGTACTAAGTCATTCCTCAGTATTTTATAAGCAATCAAGATATGTGACTAAATTATCAGAAATGCATGATGGCCCAATTTAAAAATAAATAAAACCATCTCTCACAAGTTTCATTCATTTAAAAATAACTGTATTTGCAATCATTAATAGAAAATTTTTTAGAAGTTATTGTTAAATTTAGTCTTTGTTAAATAGCACCAGTAAATTCTTGGTCAACTGCCCCAAATACACTTATTCTATTCTATTTGAAGATTCAAAACAGGATAAATAATCATTATTTTTTGGACCATCACATTCTTTGCAAGTAGCATGAAATCTATGAATTAGTCTTCAAAATTTAAACAACTCTATAATTAATAACTTGATATCTATAAATTTAAATAATTTTATGGAAATTAAAATAAATTTCCATACTAAAACAAACGTAGCCATAATTTAATATTATTAAAATTGAAACCATCTTAAATTAAAAAAGGATTATTTAAAAAATCAGCATTTATTGATAGAAATGAATAATTATAATTAGTTAAGTAATTATGATGATTTAATTTCCACTTGAAGATCTCTTATAAATTAACTTAAATCCAGATAAATTAACATCTATTAATTAATGCTTCATAAATTTCCATATAGTTTCAAGAACTTATAATAAAATTCATCAACATATGTATGGATATTATTAATTTTAATCCAATCAAAAAGTGAAAATTTCTCATAATTGGTACTTTCAGAAATAAAATATATAAATTTTTAAATTACTTAATCATTAATTTTTTGAATCTGACTAATTCTACACCTACAAGCAAAATCATCTTTATCAAAAATATCTTAAATTTGATGATAAAATAATAACTCATCAAATAAATTTAAATCAAATTATCTGGATATCATTTTACCCTAAAAATATGATAGTTTTTCATTTTAAATTTAATGTAGCAATTTCACTATTTGTTAAAATTTAGTTAGATTATTTATGAATATTTTCGAATCTCTTCCAATAAAAAGATTCAATTTTGATCATAAAGGCATCTCAATCTAAATAATTTATGATTAAGATTATTTTTCTTTATATTATATAAATTTGCCTTTTAGTTTGATATACTTCAATTTTAATATAATACCAGACATTTTCATATTATGTTAATGATATAGGTATGACAATAATGCATCAGAATTATCAACAAATTATACATATTAATTTATCTTTTGTTTCAAAATCAAGACGTATGCATGATACAAAAATTTAATCCTTTTATTTGTGTATTAAGTAAATGAAAGCAGTTGCTTTCAAGAATTCCAATATTTCCAATTTTAATTATGTTACTTAATGGACTATAATTACTCCAGAAAGATAATCGGTCACATAAAGCATCTTCTATTTCATTATTCTACAAATCGAATATATCTATTAGGTATTGACTATTCATTCCAAATAGTCATTATATATTTGAAATCTCCAAGGCATATAGTAAACAATAGGATAATCCTTTGAACATGTTTTAAATAATTTAATATCTCAACATAAACTATACTTAAGTCTCCTTTAGAATATATTTTTTCATTATTAGAGACTTTTCTATGTATAAGAATATATTCTAAAGAATTTAAGATGAATTTAATTTAAACTATTTAAAATCATCATGATTTAAAGGAAATCAAGGATGTTTGAAGAATATATAAAAAATAAAGCAAATATAATCATAAATTTAATAAAGAAAAAACCCCTTGGGATACTATATCATTAGAAATTAAGTCTTTCTCATTTAAGATCACCAAAAGCGACCAATATAATTTCAAATTTTTTCTAGATTACTCTAAAAATAATAAAGGCCTCTGAGGAAATGAACTTAACAGAAAAAGGGCTTAATCTATCGCGCGTTTAAGTATAATTCAAATTACCTGGATAATCCATATAATTGAAAAATGGAGCTATAATACAAAATATAGAAATACTTGTATAATTAATTGAAGATTTTCAAAAGTTTTATTCTAAGGGCTTTTAAGCAATCTACTTAGAAGATTTAAACAGTCTCCCAAGAAGCATTTACTTGTTTTGAAAGCACCTTACCAAAATTCCATTTTTAGATTCTCCTTTATTTTTACATTCATTCTTATTAGTTGATAGTTAATGCTTTATCATACCATTAAAGTGCTTGCTTACATAAATATCATATAATACTTAATGACCAATTTTAGAGGTCTCGGTCTTTAAATTAAATATATAAAATATAATCAAGTCTTTTTAACTTCATTGATATTTGAATCATAGTTAATAATTCTGTTTTATATCAACACTATAATACTTATTTTTATTCCTTATAATAATCTCCATTGTTGACTTCATAATAAATATCAAGTTGATTATTTTTGTGTTCTAATGTGCAATTTTAGAGTAAAATTAATGAAATCCTATTTCTGAAGCTTTTTTGATATCAATCTAAGATTTAAATACATAGATTTAGTGTAATTACAATTGAAATTAAGAAATTAATTAAATCAGAAAATAGTTGCTTAATATGAACTAAAAATTTCTGTTCTTAAAATCATCAAATGTAAGTAAGAAATTTAAATTTGAATTTGTGTTTTTTATAAAGTCATTAAGCCCTCTATCGTTTTGAAAGAGTTTTAGCATTAGTTAATATATTTAATTTTTATTTTTTCTTCCCTTTGTTAATTTTATTAATATTTTGAGAATATAAAATTACAACACATAAAATTTAGCATAAGATGATGTTCTTTAGGTTTATAAATTATTAGAAATAAACCACGAAACAATAAAGAAACTATAGGTTAGGCCTTAAAAAATGAGATCGCAACTATTCTTTTGAATCTTAAAAAATATTAATATTTTATTATCAATAATTATTAATTTTTAACTGCTGTTAAATTTACTTTAATCTTTTCAGAATAATGAGAAATGGTAATGTAATAATTAATTTCAATATCTCTTAATTTAATTACCAATTATTTCATATTTAGTAATCAAATTTTACATAAATTAATTAATTTAAATAATTTCTAACTTTGAATCAACAAGTTTATAAAATACTCTCCTCTAAAGCTTAGCTTTAAAACCTAAAAAAATATTTGATGATATCAATTTTTAATCCTAGTATTGAGCTTTTCAAAAATAGAATTTTTATTATTGCATAAGAGTATTTCATTAAAGATTTGCTTAATTTTATTGTAAAAGCTAATGTGCATAATTAAAGGTTTTCTTTTATTTATTTAATATTTCTAGAGTTTAAATTAGTTATTTTTCTAGTGATGTTGTATTTTGAGAAATTCATGTACCATCAGTAAATCAAATTTTAGTGATTTTTGCAGCAATTTCAATATCAAAAATTCATATTTTTTAGCTTGGCCAAGTTAAAACATGATAAAAATATTTAATTTAAATTCCTTATTTTATATACTTTCAATTATTTTGTCTTTTCATTATTGTTAATTTTTATATTTTTTGAATTAATAGAAAGAAATGAATCATGAATTGAAATGAAAGTGGCTATTATCTCTTCTTAATCTCTATTACAAACTTTATGAGTTTGAAGTAATGAACAAAAGAAAAGTTAGATTTATTTGTAAAGTTCAACTCTCAAGATATAATTCCTTAAAATATATAGTTTGATTATGAGGATCTCTTTAATTAAGAAGGAAAATATCATCTAGGTATGATATTAAAATTTAATTTTTATTTTGGGAAATCTCCAAGATACACTTTCTTGGGAGCTAACAGATGGTACAATCTTCTATTCAGTATAGTATAACTTTGATCTAGAATAACTTGGTGAAATGTTTGGAGAAAAAAAGGAGCCAAAGATGTAAAACAATACTAAAACCTTATTATTGCTTAATGAATAGAATTAACCTTGACTTTCTAGATGTAAGATCAATATTCAAATATTGAGATATATAGGAGCATGTGTATTCAAAATAGGAATGAATCCAGTTGAATAGTAATGTAAAATTTCTGGATATATCTATCTTATTTAATTTTTTAATAATATGTAACTTATTAGTAGAGAAAAATTAATCTCAAATTATAAATTTTTCTGTTAAATTTACAAATGACTTAATTATCTTAAATCAATCAAGGTGTTTTAAAATTTGACAAGTGAAGATTATGAATTCCTTAAATTGCAGACATAATGTTTAGTTATTAAGCTCAAGAGTTGATCTTTTCAAAATAATATTAATTAAAATAGTCCACCAATTTAACCCAGAATGTCTAAAATATTATTATAGTTTCTGTAATATATATACAGTTTCTCAGTGATCTAGATACATTATTATATAAATCAATTAGTTTACTGAATATTAAAAGCTAACTCATTTTGCATTTCAAATAATAAAGCGCTATATTCTTCTTTTCTCATAATAATAAAAACAATTTCTTTCTTATAAAGTTTTGCTTTTCTCAATCATGTAGTTATTTCTTTGTATTAAGAAGCAGATACTGTACTTGTTATAGTTTTTGTTTAATCTACTATTTATCTTTGAAACTACAATTATTTATTTTTATGATGAAGAAGAAGGATTATTAGTCTTCTATAGAGTTCGAAAATAAATCTGATATAATAATAAACCCAAAATATCCTTGGGTAAATTTTCCTCAATTTATTCTTAGCACTCCAAAAACTGCGTGATATTCATCCTCTTTTGACTTATAAATTGGATGATAACAATTTCCTGAAATTCTTAAAAAAATTATAATAACTCATTATCTTTAAAATATTTTTTATTAATAGTGAGTTAACTTTATAAATATTAACCGAACAATTTTTTAGAATAAGCCAGAAATATGTTTTTTATAGAAAGCTTATTTGAATAAATTATGAGATTATAAAAAAAACCATAAGCGATTGTAGAATGTTTATTATGATTTCCATAGACCAAAGCTTATTGAATCACCACCATCATTATTTTGAGAAAATGGATTAATATTATATAAATTTGTTGAAGTATTTATATCAAGCAAAGCATTCTCATGCGAACTTAATGGGCAACCAATTGTGCTATAAACAATCTAATTAAAGAAGAATATAGCAATCATTGTCCTAAACAAATCCAAAAATGAAAACATTTTGATTTTGAAATTTTCTATTATATTAATAAATGAGAATTCAAAAAGTAATGGAAATAAAAACAAGGCTTTTAATAAGATTAATTTTTTACAATAGTTTAATTTATTAAATATAAAACTCACTTTTGATAAAGTAAATAGAAATCATTAAGATTTTATTGAGAATTAGAGGGAAGATGATGAAGAAATAGTTTAAAATAGCTTTAATTTGAAAAAAATGCTACCTGAATCAGAAAACGTGGTTATGAGAATATGGATGATTTTATATTTATTGGCTCTAAATTCTTAATTTTTCATTTTTTTATTTTATTTTATTTTCAATTTATTATATAATTATAGTATTTTAGAGAAAAATTTAACATTTGCTTGTCAATCAAAGATGAATTAGTTGTAGTTTTAAATTATTTGCTTTAGAAGATAATAATTAATTAACCATTTTTTTTATTTTCAAAAATTTGATATTATATCATTTTTCTTGTAGTAAATAATAATTAATTATATTTAAAAATAAAAAAAAAGTCACCCCGAAGACTTGAACTCGGAACCTTCGCCTCATAAGAGCGACGCTCTACCTCTGAGCTACATGACTTTTCTAAGAATTCCTCCATGAATAATTATATTAGCTTAAATCATAAATAATGAAAAATAGATAAAATTTGTTTTAACTTATTTGAATTGAACTTTATTTTATGATAATTTTATATATATTGTTTTAGATTTTTTCAAATACTTATTTTAAGAAATATAAGACAGAAAACTGTGAATTAAAAACATCAATTAGTCTAATTGCCATTGAATTGAATTCCTATAAAGAGTTTTTCCAAAATTTTTATAAACTAAGAGTTCGTTTCTAATATAAAAATTATTATTACTGCATAAATTGAGAATAATCTAATTAAATCTGAAGTAATTGGCGTTATAGCATTCCTTCATTGTCTCCAAAAATATTGGTTTCAGTTGAAAAGGAATATAATCTATAAATTACATAAAAAGGGCTGCTTTTATTTTTAATACAAAGTGACTTAAAAAATTTAGTTTTTGGATATGTATCAGCAGATAAAAAAGTTACACTTGTATATTTAAATATTATTTTTTTTTAAACCCCTGAAGAATGGGTTTGGGTTTGCCCACTAGTAAGTTTAATTCAGCAGTCACATTNTAAACAAATCCAAAAATGAAAACATTTTGATTTTGAAATTTTCTATTATATTAATAAATGAGAATTCAAAAAGTAATGGAAATAAAAACAAGGCTTTTAATAAGATTAATTTTTTACAATAGTTTAATTTATTAAATATAAAACTCACTTTTGATAAAGTAAATAGAAATCATTAAGATTTTATTGAGAATTAGAGGGAAGATGATGAAGAAATAGTTTAAAATAGCTTTAATTTGAAAAAAATGCTACCTGAATCAGAAAACGTGGTTATGAGAATATGGATGATTTTATATTTATTGGCTCTAAATTCTTAATTTTTCATTTTTTTATTTTATTTTATTTTCAATTTATTATATAATTATAGTATTTTAGAGAAAAATTTAACATTTGCTTGTCAATCAAAGATGAATTAGTTGTAGTTTTAAATTATTTGCTTTAGAAGATAATAATTAATTAACCATTTTTTTTATTTTCAAAAATTTGATATTATATCATTTTTCTTGTAGTAAATAATAATTAATTATATTTAAAAATAAAAAAAAAGTCACCCCGAAGACTTGAACTCGGAACCTTCGCCTCATAAGAGCGACGCTCTACCTCTGAGCTACATGACTTTTCTAAGAATTCCTCCATGAATAATTATATTAGCTTAAATCATAAATAATGAAAAATAGATAAAATTTGTTTTAACTTATTTGAATTGAACTTTATTTTATGATAATTTTATATATATTGTTTTAGATTTTTTCAAATACTTATTTTAAGAAATATAAGACAGAAAACTGTGAATTAAAAACATCAATTAGTCTAATTGCCATTGAATTGAATTCCTATAAAGAGTTTTTCCAAAATTTTTATAAACTAAGAGTTCGTTTCTAATATAAAAATTATTATTACTGCATAAATTGAGAATAATCTAATTAAATCTGAAGTAATTGGCGTTATAGCATTCCTTCATTGTCTCCAAAA